ATACATTACATACATTCCATACATTACATACATTACATACATTCCATACATTACATACATTACATACATTACATACATTACATACATTACATACATTACATACATTACATACATTACATACATTACATACATTACATACAGTACATACATACATACATACATACATACATTACAATACAATACAATACAATACAATACAATACATACATACATACAAACATACATACATACATACATTACATACATTACCTACATTACCTACATTACATACATTACATACATTACATACATTACATACATTACATACATTACATACATTACATACATTACATACATTACATACATTACATACATACATACATACATGCATGCATGCATGCATGCATACATACATACATGCATACATACATACATACATACATACATACATTACATACATACATACATACATGAGTGTGGGCGCGATCAGCATGTTTCAAACTCAAGTTTGAAAGGTTAGCTTTGAAGTGGAAAGGGTTAGTCTCTAAACCCGAGGCCCGGCTGGGTTGTAGGGGGGGCGGGAGAAACAAACTAACTCTGAGGAAAAAGGTTTGTTTCTGGGGGAAAAACAAAGTTTTTGGGGGGTGTTTCTGGCTCCAGAAACAAAAATTTGGGCGTTGGAAAGGTTTGTTTCCGGAAGGGAAAAGAAACGTTTACAGGAGAGATTATCGGAACCACAGGGAAACTAAGGTTTCAAAACTAACGTTTCGAGGTCGAGAAACAAAGGTTTCCAAGACCGAGAAAATGAGTTTGTAAGTTTCCGCTTGCTCCCCGGAGCAGCAGCAGCACCAGGAGCGGTGGCAGCGGCAGCAGCAGGCAGCGGGCGCAAGCAGGAGGCGGCGGGGCGCAGTAGCATTAGCAGCAGCCGCAGCAACAGCAAGAGCAGTCGCAGTAGGAAGACGAAGTAGAAGAGGAAGCAGAAGAAGAAGAAGAAGAAGCAGAAGAAGAAAAAAAGAAAGAAGAAGAAGACGAAGAAGAAGAAAAGGAAGCCGAAGAAAAGGAAGACGAAGAAGAGCAAGAACAACTGCAGGGGAAAAACTAGAATACTGCAGCGGGCGCCTTCTGTTTGGCGACGGCGGTACATGGCAGGCAGCGGCATGTACGCGGCAATTTCTCGGATCGGAGACAATCGACAAGGCGTGAAAAAGGAAGAAGTGGCACCGTACTGCAGACAAGAAGAGCATGGCGAGGCAGTTCGATAGGTCATTGGCGATGCCGACAGAGAGGAATGATGGTGAATATGAAACAGTTGCCACAGCATGGCGAGGCCGAGATGAGGGGCAGCCCGAAAGGTTGGTTTCATTGCTTTCAAACTAACGTTTCGAAACGTAAGTTTTATCAGACGAAAAGGTTTGTTCGAAACAAAAAGCTTTCCGTGTCCGTGAAAAACAAACGTTTCAGCTTGGCAGTCTGGCAGTTTGTTATTCCAACCCAAAACAAACGTTTTGTAGAATAGTTTGTGTCCGTGCCTAAAACAAACGTTTCTGAAACAAACATTTTTGCAAAAACAAACAAACAAACAAACTAGTCGAAAAAAGGTTTGTTTTTGAGCGTTTCAAACTAGTTCCGACAGAGTTTGTTTTGAGTTTCTAGTTTCAAACTGACGTTTCCAAAAAAGGTTTGTTTCGATCCCTGAAGCTTACGTTTTCGCAAGGGAAACGTTAGTTTTTGAAGGAAAACATGCGTTTCTCTTTCCACTGCTTCCAGTCCCAAGCTTGGACAACACCAAAACATTAGTTTCCGCCTGGAACAGAAAGCTTTTCTGCCGTCTAGAATAATTTGCTTCAACCAGGAGAACTAACCTTTCTCCTGTCAAAAAGTTCGTTTCTGCCTCAAAACAAACTCCTGGTTGCATCCTTATTGACATACATACATTACATTACATTGAATTACATTACATTGCATTACGCTACATTACATTTCATTACACTACAGTACACTACATTACAATACATTACATTACATACAGACACACACCCATATACATACATACATACATACATACATACATACATACATACATACATACATACTACATTACATACATACATACATACATACATTACATACATTACATACATTACATACATTACATACATTACATACATTACATACATTACATACATTACATACATTACATACATTACATACATTACATACATTACATACATTACATACATTACATACATTAATACATTACATACATTAATACATTACATACATACATACATACATACATACATACATACATACATTACATACATACATACATACATACATACATACATACATACATACATACATACATACATACATACATACATACATACATACATACATACATACATACAACATTACATACATTACATACATTACATACATTACATACATTACATTTACATTTATTACATACATTACATACATTACATACATTACATACATTACATACATTACATACATTACATACATTACATACATTACATTTACATTTATTACATACATTACATACATTACATACATTACATACATTACATACATTACATACATTACATACATTACATACATTACATACATTACATTACATTACATTACATTCCATTACATTCCATTACATTCCATTACATTCCATTACATACATACATACATTACATACATTACATACATTACATACATTACATACATTACATACATTACATACATTACATACATTACATACATTACATACATTACATACATTACATACATTACATACATTACATACATTACATACATTTCATACATTACATACATTACATACATTACATACATTACATACATTACATACATACATACATTACATACATTACATACATTACATACATTACATACAATACATTACATACACATTACATACATTACATACATTACATACATTACATACATTACATACATTACATACATTACATACATTACATACATTACATACATTACATACATTACATACATTACATACATTACATACATTACATACATTACATACATTACATACATTACATACATACATTACATTACATTACATTACATTGCATTGCATTACATTACATTACATTACATTACATACATACATACATATATATGTTAAAACAACATATATATATATACATATGTATATGTATATATTGTATATATGATTTCTGGGATATACCCTTCATCTTTCCATCTTCCACTTTTTTCGAAACGGACGGCCATCCCATGGGCACCAAAGCGTTGGGCACGTGCTGCCCGGGCTGCAGCGTCGCTCCCCTGGACCTGGGATTTTCTGGGAAATCCTACCGTGGATTTTTTGGGAAAGATATGGAACATACCCATTAATGGTGTTTTAATGGGATTCAATGGTGATTCAATGGCATTTAATGGGATTTGATAGGATATATGATGATATACCTTCTGGTAAACATACACAAAACTATGGAAAATCATCATTTTTAATGGGAACATCCACTATTTCGACTGGGTCATTTTCAATAGCTATTTTGACATAACCAGAGGGTATGGGATGTTCTCACCAATATGTTTTTGTAACATGATGAGATGATAAATATGGGATCCAACTTTTTTTTTGATCCATTATTGTATGATAAATATGTTTTTCTCATCAATATATTGTGGAAATATGGGATGTTCTTCTCATCAATAATGATAAATATACGGATCCAGTTGGAAGATCATCCGGATCGCATCGAGTGAAATGCTTGTGTCACCGAAAAAAGGCACACGAACGAACGGATTTCACTGCCCTTCCTGGCATACTGACTTTCAATACTGCACTTACGAATCAAACACAGCATGGTTGATGGTTTCAACCAAGAATGTAGTCGTCAACGTGAATCAACCTCCGAAGATTTTTTGCGGATACACAACAGATTTTTGCAACCATCAACTGGCTATTGCGGCTATTTGTTCTGTAAGCCCATCTGTATTGATTCTCTGCCCAAAACAGGTTTCACCCAATCTAAATTGTGAGGACAGCTGAAAACAACAGCAATGTGATTCGAAAGAATTGACGCACCCAAAACGGTTCCCTTTTTGTAGGAAAGTAACAAGACAAACATCTCAGGATATTTCTATTTCCAAGATATGTTTCCTATTTAGGGACAACAGCACGTGTTCCACCTGTTGAATCTGGCATCGGTGGTTTCAGCCGAGCTTCGCTGGCACCGAAACGCTTGGCTCGAGCTTCGAGCTTCTCCTGGTTGATATTAGAGTCCATAGTGGACAAAATCTTTAGTCAATCAAGATAGATATAGACATACGTATGTATACATATATAGAATGGTAATACCAGAATGTATATCAAAATTACATGTCTAGATATGTGCACACATATGTATGTGAACATATCCTTTTTTTGGTCTGAATAGGACTACGCATATGTACATACAGTACTCCATTGTAGGTGCTTTGCTACATGTGGGGTCTGTTGGCTCTTGGAGCATCTCAGCCCTTTGGATGGTTTGGGCGCTACCAGCTGGCAAGATCTACTCATTGGGTGGGTCTTTCTTACAGTGACTCTGATAAATCGCCTCGCATTGTTTAGTCACATATCTGGGTAAATTATAATATTTCACTGACCTGAAATAAGGCCATTTGGGGATGATTCCCCTGACTAACCATTATTCCCAGTGAGGTCGCAGTGAGGTCGTGATGAAATTTACCCAGACATATTGATAGCCACAAAACAAGAACCCGAGATTGGCTGGGTCATCACATTGGAACCATGGCCTTGGTGGATAAGGCCCCATTCTCGGAAGCCTCACTACTGGGATGACTGGGATGACGGGTGAATTTCGTTGCAAGAACACCTACAGTACCACAAAGATATGCCACACTTGCCATACTTCAACATATTTCATACTAAACCAGGATATGTTATCATGGGATATCACATAGTATATTGATACGTCAACATATCATATTGATGTATTCATTTCATAATAGCTTTATTATCCATAAAAGAATCATATCATAATCATATCAACAACCAGCTGGAATAATGATACCTGCAGGCAGACAAGAATTTTCTGCTCATATTTGGGGATGTGCAAAGTTAAAGCATCCCCTCAACAGTTCGACCCTGAGCATCACCCCAATTTTTCGAGACATGACAATCTGCCTCCACCATGCAAGGAGACAGGCCTTGGCACCATGGGGTGAGACCAAGGTGATCTTCAATCTTAAGAGGGAGTGGTAAAATGTCCCAAATAAGTTTGTCTAAAAATAAAGAGTACATCCTTAAATCCATGATTGATCATCAAAATTCATCTTACATCACCATAAATTGGGGGGGTCACTTGAATGCCCCAGTTTTGGACAAACCCAGGTATGATATTGTTGTTTGTATGCCTCGTGACGCGCAATTTTATGGTTATAGAGGTAAGTAAACGGGTCATCTGCGCAATTTTATGGTTATTTTCTTACGTCTTTTGTTGGTATTTGTTGGTCATATTATTCACCATTTTGATCCATTTTGCATAACACCATATCCATGTGAACCCTCATCACACCATGATAATTAGCATTTTTGAAGCTAAACTTGTAATTTCAATTATAAATCTCGAGGTCTGTGTTTAAACATTTCCATTTATATCCCCAACACGAAAGCTCACTTTTTTTCCATCAGCAAATTTCCAAATCCCCAAGTTCACATTCACCAAAATCTGATAGAAATTTTCGTCAATTTTTGTAGGGTTGTAGGGGACCTACCCGAGGTGGCCATGAGTCACCCAAAATGGGACTACCGAGGTCCTGACCGCGGGGTCCCGGCTTTTCAGTGCGACTGAACCCTGCTGGAGCCACTGGCTAAAAAGCAGCCATAGTCACAGAGCCCCCAAGTCATCCAGCATTATCCATTTTTACCATGGGATATGAATCATTCATATGAACAATATATGAACAATATCTAAAAGAAAACTTGCCGAGCATGGGATAATTTTATGATTCATGGAAAGCTTGCCCGACTCCTCAAGAGTCGATCCGTATACATTTTAAGTAACGGGCCCCATGGCAAGTGGGGACCTACATGACGAAGTCTGAGCTATCCCTTGATCAAGTTAATTCTCAGCAGGATGTACATCACTTAGTTCACTTATGTTCACTTCATCATTGGTGGATAGAATGGCTAGAAATAATCCTTGAAGTCAGGTGGTGCAGGCATTGTACCAGAAAGCCCAGGGGTCAGCGGGATTGTGCCCAACTATTCCATTGGGATTGTGCCTTCAAGGCTATGAGTTTATGAGTCAAATGAATTCATTATAGATCCTTAAACGGACTTAAGCCAACTGCTCAACAAGGTTCACCCCGTATCGAGGTGTCATTCAACCATTCACCAGTCAGTATACTCTGGCTCACCCAGAACAGCCATTGCTGTCACTTTTCAGCTGCACCCCTAAATTCGTCGCCGGGCCCTTGCTTGCCCTTGCACGGGCAACTCTCAGCCTCAGGCACTTAATTATCGGGCCATGGCCCATAGCCAGGTGGAATGTGTTCTGGCTCTGCCAGCAAATGGTGCGGGCAAGTTTTCGACAGCAGTTCGTCTCCAAGGGATGGAGTGAACACCCAAGTGCTAAATGAGATGTGCGTCCGTGCATCTCGGCAGACGCAGTTGGAACCCAGAGAAACTGAACGCGCTTCCTCTGTTGAAACCGGTGGATGTCCCAAAAAGCATTCCAGGAACATTTGGGGATCAAATGATCATCGTAAATCATTGTGGTATCTCCGTTAGATGTTTCGCATTTTTCACATCCAAAACCTGGTTTCGTCACCCCGCATCTCAATGCGACAGAAGGGGTGTCGCAGTGCCTGGGGCGCAGTCATGCGCCACGCCGCCTGACGAGGATATTTGTAGATGGGACAGGATGGGGGGTTGGAAGATACACCAATCATATCCAATGATTTTTATTGATGATGATTCTGATGATTCCGATGATTCCGGTGGTGCTGGGGCGAGAAAAAGGATCTCTTTGACACATCGAAACCTGAAATCGGAAGTTAAGCCAGTTAAGCAACATCGAGAGCTGTTCCTCATTCAACAGCCCAGCTCCATCCGACAGGATATGAGGTTGGATGATGAGGAATCGATCGGGAATCGATCGATAATTTAGGATGCAGTCTTAAATTTTAAGCAGCCAAACATGCCCAAGTGACCAAGTACCAAGCTTATTTGGTGGGGTTTCATGTCAGTATCAACAGGATATTGCTACTAGTAAGAGTGCCCTTACAAACACACGTCGGACGATGAGTCTTGCTAGACTACTCTGGAGCCAAGGATCCAATTTAGAACTCCGAACAATCAAGTTTACACCCACTAAGCACATCTAAGTACCCCCCTTCTCCCAGTTGGGGCGCCTTGTAGTTCAAACATTGCTCCAGGAGATCGAGACCATCTTCGCCCAAGACGCCCACATCTGGCATCGACGAGTCTCGGGGTTGCCATGTACCCACCCTTTGGGGCCATACCCAATACGAAAATCCTCTTTGGGAGCCATTTTTCAGGTTGCCATGTACCATGGTGTAGCCATTTTTCAGTTCTCATGGGAATGTGCCATGTTCTGGTCAGGATCCTCACCGACAGATCGCCATCGCATGCGACAATTCATATGCGAATTCATGTGGTGCGATAAACATCATATGGAATCCAGCATCACATCACCATATCACCATGTGTATATTCAATCTTTGTTGCTTAAGATTAAAAAAAGGCATGTGCCCACATACTTGGATTCCCTTTTTCATGGTCGCCACTAGCTGCTACTATTCTCAGTAGGTGAATGTCCGTGCCATAGAATGGGCTCACAACCCATCATATTGTCAATTGCCAATATAGATTTCAACAAATATGTGGTAACCGGAAAACCCACGGGTTTATAATCATTTTCCCTAACAACACCAGGTGTATACTCCCTTCCTATGAAGTAGCACCTTAGAAACCTTGTTTTACAAGGTGGTGCCCCCCAGTTATAAGTTGGTTTATAAGCCCATTAACTATAGATATATCACCTATAAAAACCAGAGTTATTGGAGTTATTTGCACCAACTGAACGCTATCTTGGGGGCACCACCTTGTAGTATTGGATCTATTCATTGGGCCCATAGGGCTGCATTGAATGGCTGGATGACTGCCTTGCAATCGATCAGGCGGGCTCCAAATGGGGAAGTCCTCACCTGCAGCCGGGAAGGTGGGAAGCCAGGAAGCCACAGAGAGTGGACAGCTTTTTTGTCCGAGTCTGGCAGAAAAAAACAGATCATATATATATACTGATTAATAATGATAATATACTGCTAATTCTGGCAGATTTTAGTTTCCTTTTCGAACAATTCGTATGTTGGTGGCCAGACTTGATGTCCAGCATCTTATGTTGCCCTCCTCGTGAGAACCTTACTCTCTCTTTTGCCGTGTGTATGAAGGAAGTCAACCTAAGAAAACCTAGACAAACCTCACTGGATATACCTCAAAGATATGGTTTCAATATGTGACTGGAACACAGCTGCAGAAAGTTGTGTTTGGATTGAGAGGTTACATCCTCGTGTGCATTGTGGACATGAACACCATTAATCATGACAAACCAATAACGAGCCGGCCATTTTAGTATGACAACATCCACTGATTGTGTTTTTGAATTCAATTTTGGCTAACCAACATCAGAGACAGCACTATGATAGTGGCTAACCAACATTGGGACATCTCCTACTGGCTATCCTAGATAATCTTGAAAAAACAATGGACGTCCATTCAAAAAATCTGGGTTAACAAATGCTTGTGAGTCTTCTTTAGATGCCAAACACCGTAACATAATATCCACCTAATTTTTCGACTTTTCCTGGCTTGGATATTCCGTATGGTGATCCAAAAAAGTCGATACGGATTTGTGATTGGTGGCTATGCGGCTATTCCCATGGCCTCATCAGGACAATGATACAAATGATCACAATCCTGATTGTCAATGATATAATTATACAATGGATTATTATCATCAATGGGATCATGATATTCATGGGATCATGATATTCCTCAATGGTGACAATAATTGACAATCATCACAATAATTTATTGGATTCATTGGATTCTCCTCAGGGAAACGAATGACTTTTTTCCATGATTTTTTCATCTGACAAAAAAGGGATTTCGGATGGGGAGAGCTCCACTGCCTGGCACTATGGATCCCAGCTAAAATGCTCCAATTTCGACACGCCCGGCCAGGTGATTTCGCTGGGGGTACCTCAGGATGGAAGTTTTTCATGGACTCAGTGGGTGGGGTGGCAAAAAAACAATAACATGGCACATTTGATGATGCATTTTATATCATTTTATGATATTCTTGTTCATGTTGGAGGATTTTTTGTTAATCCCTGAATGCCTGTATTGGTTGCTGTTGGTTGCAGCATCATTTGATAAAATCCTACTTGATATTCCTATCTTTCAAGCCGCATGGCCAAACATCGAGGCTTGAATCCGAGCCTCCGCACCAAGCAGCTTGAAGATCCTGGGAGACCGTTGGGATACCAATGTCATGATCCAGCGAACCAATGGGTAGCTGGGAACGAACCAATGGTAATGAGACACAACCATACACACCACAAAAACAAGCTCTGAAGCTGTTTTGATTTCCCTAGAGGCCCTAGAAGTGTACGCGTCTATATTCATACGTAATCATACTTTACATCAAGTAGCAGAAGAACGTCAGCAATTTTATTTTTACAAACACGTCATTACTGTCCTGTTGTGCATCCTTTGCAGCTTCCACCTGGCCTGAAGATGGTATCGATCTCACAGTCTCCGGGGAAGAGAACCCGCGTCGTTGCCATCTCGGACAGGATGCAACCTGTTGTGATCGTTCTGAGATCTGGGTGTCAAGGGTAACGTTAAGGTCGTTAAGGTGGCTTACAACGTTTTTTTGGTCAGGTGACTTATATCGTTTTTGGAGTATATGATTTTGAGCCATTCCCAGAAAAGTATCACCAGACGGAAATCTGGAGTCTTGGCGATAGGCTAGAGCACTGCTGAGCAGTGTGACACATTGAAGTTTGGCATGAAGAGCTAATGCATCCATACATCCATCAAGATCCATCAAGATACTAGCAGTCTTAAAGTCTTCTGGCTCCAAACAACTAACATAAAGTAACATAGAATGCTAGTTGCACTTTATCTTTCATCGCCTCATCACAGAGGTGATTAAAGCGTGAGTGCTACAAGTACAGCAAACCTTGATAGAATCTTGCCATCCAAAGCCACAAACCGTCTATTCAATGCAACTCATGTGCAATTCATGCGCAGTTTATCAAACTCCTTGTTCCAGTATTGCCTTAGTCCTACAGAAACGCGAACGATCCGGGATCGTCTTGCAAGCAGTCACAAACCAAGAGCCTTCCTATCTCTTTCTGCCTGTATCCTTTTTGTGTTCATTGGTGAAACCTCTGTCTGTTGATCAAAGTTAGTCAAACTCCGTCATTTCCTCTTTCGTTGGCAAAAATCCACAATTTGTTGGCCGAAATCACAGCTTGAATCCATGAGAATTTGTGGTTTTGTCGGGTTGCCCCAGTTCTGTTGGCAAACAAGAAAAAATCGATTGGGAAAAATGACGACGTCACAGTTTCTGGGCGAGAAGCCCAAGGACCACACATCCATGGCGGGCCCATAGTGCACTTGTCCAAGAAGAAGCTCGATGGAGCGATACCACAAGGTGCAGACCTGCAAATTGAACACATGAATTAAAGATATTAAAAAGATATTAATAAGATATTAAAGCTAATTCTAAGCTAATTGAAAAGAATCCTTTTTTCCAGTCTATGTTATCCCAATACACTGATGGCCAAATGGAGAATCCAATGATACCATAGGATCTCATGTTCATGGTGCTAAGTGCTAAGCCCCCATTTCATGGCGGAATCCCAGATGTAACCAGTGGATTCTGGATGAATCACAATGATTCACAAGCCTGAAAGGTCTGCAACCACAGCAATGACATGGCAGGGGGGATAGACAGCTATGAGTGACTTTAACTGATATGAGTCTTGACAACATCTGCGGTTCCTGCCAGGTTTGATGGATTCATTCCAAGCGTGTCTAAAGCATGTTACAACTCCCTCCCCCAATATATAGTATATATATATATATTATATATAGAAACCCTCGATTCATGAAACATTGTCGCGCTCTCCATTTAGAGCGCATCTTCGGAGGCCTGATGGGTAGAAGGAGCCTGTCCCATGTACAACCTGGAGGAAACGGAGGAAAGATGAAGGTAAACATCTTGGTAAACGGTCTGTCAATGCTCTAAATCTTTCCTGACGCAACTGAACAACCAAGGGTTGTTGAAAAAAAACCAGTACGCTCACAACTGCAACTGCCAACATCATCTAGCCATGCCCGGCCGGTGAAACCATTAAGTTCGGGAAGGGCTAATTCTAACCATCCGACTGTCTGCAGGGCTTTGATTCGTCCAATTATTGCTCTATTACTATCCAATCATTCCAATCATTTGTCATGTGCTCACGGTTCCTTGACGGTATATTACAGCTACATCGCCTACATTTCCTACCCAGCTGCCGAGCCACATTCGCGCCAAGCCCAGGTCGGCCAGAACCAGGTGAACCGCACAGTTGGCGTCGAATTTCAACAGGATGTTTTGAGGCTTCCTGAGGGAATCACAGTTCACAGTGACACTATGTGACACTATTTGTGGCTCCAAATGGATTCAAATGGCTGGTACTACAGTACTAGATTACTCCATCAAAAATGCTGACATGGCCTGCCACATGGGCTTCAACTTCCATCCCGAAGCAAGGTCAGAATCAGGCCAGAATTGGTAGTTGATGAGAACATGTCTTTGGTCTTGATCTCCAACTTCGAAGTGGGAAGAACACAAAGGGTAGCACCAACTTGTCACCTTAGGCCAGGATATCACCCCAAACTATGGCTAAACTTGTTTAGCCCAAACAGCTGCCAAACTTGGGGCTTTGGCTTTGGCAATGACCATATTTCTTGTGTTTCTCTCCAAGCAACAAATCCCGATGAAGCACCAGCCGTTGATGACAATGCGCCAGGCCTCGCGGTCGGCGAACAGCTCCGGCAGCAAAAAAAATGGAAGCTTCATGAAACTTCATACTGCGGAAAGTAGCTTCGGATTTGGCTTCAGTGGTGAATCTGAGTCAATCGATTATATCTTTTGTTCATCAATCAGCTCCATTTTTTGTATTGACGCTCCGGCACCTGAGAAGAGCTGCCGGCTGCACTGCCGCAGCTGATCCCCGTGGAAGGCGCCGTGACGGCGCAAGTAGCGACGGAGGTCCAGGTCGAAGCGATCGAAGATCAGAAAGATGCAGCTGTCGCCTGGATACGCACTGCACTGCACCCGTTTTGAATATCTATGATACATGTATATATATATATATGTACATGTACGTATGTATGCATACAATACAATATACTTTTTTTTGCATGCTGTATATTGAAGCTGCCTTCAGCTGCGGCAGAGTGTATGTATGTATGTATGGATGGATGTATGGATGTAAATGAGTGCTTCTACATACCAGTATGCATACATGTATCTGTAGATATTCAAACATACAAAGATACATAGCTATTTGCATCCAATCGGGGGTATAGATCCAAGAAAATGGGGATGCATATCCAGCAGAATGGGTGTATATATTATAATAATATAGCCAATAAAATAGGCTTTGCTAGGGATATTTGACCAAATTCAGCCACTTTGGAGGGAACTTGCCCAGTACCTGACCCATCCCATGATGACGTGGAACTGTTCCCTTTATATCCCCTCATCACAAGCTCATGATTTCAAGCAGAGATTGGCACATGGTAATGATATTGATTGATATTGATTGATATTGATTGATATTGATTGATATTGATTGATATTGTAGTGATATTATAGTGATGTTCGGAGTCTTTCATTGTCATCCATTGTCCACAAACGCGATTCATGCTTCCTGCGATCACGTCGTAGAGCTTGATCACATGCGGGTGCCTCAAACTTCCTGGATGCAGACAGGTGCATTGGATTGGCAGTGTGATTTCAATTGGGAAGTTTGAACATGGAATTTGCGATTAGTAGGTTAGGGTATTTTTATGTATATTCAACATGTATCCCGGACGGGCTTTTAATCGTTTTAATCCAGCCATTCGCACTAAGAATTGAAGATCAAATGATGGAACTGAAGTTCTGAATGGATGAAAAAAGGAATGGACACGTTAGACTTGGCCGTTTCAAGCTCAGCTCGTTGGCGCTCATCCAATCATCCCCCATAAAGAGAGACAAGTATCGAACATGTAAAATACCGAAACAGTTGCGAAAAGTTGTATCCATCATGCAATGTTTGTGTCTTTAATCCGCAATCTGTTATTGAACCATCCCTATTGGGGTTAATCATTTCCGGTCTAATAACTATTTCCAACAGTTTAAATCAGTTTAAATCCTTCAAATTCAAAACTGCTGGCCAGAGCCGTACCACATCACAGCGAGTTCACCTCGAAAGTGTGACCTTGAAAAAATAAGTACTGTAGATTTCCCATGATTTCCCAGCACAGTGTCCACCTGAATCCAAGCCCTCGCCCGCTGGTGTCTTCATTGAACCCCGCTGTGCGATATCCCCTGTGCCAATTGGTGTTTACCCCCTAGCTGTTCATTCACCAGAAATGACAGAGTACCAATTTTTTTTATCACTGATCATCCCTGATCTCTTCTTCGTCTTCTTCTTCCTCCTTTGCTCACTAATCAGACCTTCATTTTCTCTAATTTCCCAAACCAAACCAGCCATGCATCGAAGCAAAGACATCTCTCTTAAGGCGGTGGTTGGCACCCCCTCCTCTGTATTGCAAGGACTCCTGGCAGAGTGAAGTCAAGTTGCAAAAAGGTTGCTGAGGTTACCAGCTATCACCACCTGTGGCAATACTTGAAGTCTGCGGTATCATTAGGAGTGGAATCTCAACAGGCCCCAGAGCATCAACAGAGTCTTGAGTGGAGGCAACTGTTCTCCATTAAACACATTATAAACAAATTTTATTTGAACATTTTCTATCCATTTTTTTGCCCAGTTGATACAATCCATGGTGTTGTGATGCCATTTTGTGCCACCATGGCTCCTCTTGATGGCCACCCGGCGGCCAGTGGTCAAACAGCTGGCGCCATAGACAGTGCCATAGGATCCCTGGACATGGCGGACGTCGAGCGTCGGCGAACATGGAACTGTGGCAGATTGTAGCCTGACCAGACCTTTGTATATTGGATGTATAATGATTGAATAATGATCAATACATATCATTACCTGGTATTTATTCTCTAACATAGACATACATAGACATATTACCAGCAATCTAATAAGAATCCCTGCTCATTGATCCATTTCTGACACATAACATCCCACATTTATGGATATCAATCCCCAACAAGTTGGCATCTGATCTCCAACAAATCAAAAAAAAATCAAATCCATAGGATATAATCACCTGGGCTTACTAATAACATTAGATAAACAACACTGGTGACCATGGTGAATATCAAAATAGCTGGCTGGAATTCATGGATGTTCATTTCCTCCAAACATGGTAACCCTATGTAACCCTGGTAGTTCATAGGTTTTGGATGGTTCGTTTTTTTTTTCGAAAAAAACATCCCTGTGGCCCTCCCAATTTCCTCACCGATCTTCTCTGCTACGGCGTAGTGTCGCCGCACCTCGCTCAGAGCCTCCTGAGGCACCAAAAAGTCACCCAAATTGGGTCGTCTAATGGTTTCAACGCAGGGGATTTCAATGGATTTAATTCTGAAAAAAGGGGAGGTATAGAAATAGGACATCCAACCAGGATCTGATGTTGTAGGCTTTGATCGAGTAAAAGAACAATCTTCCCAGTAAATGTTTCCCATGGAAGAAATTCATGATACACGATGAAATCTAGGTAAAATCGATGGCTTTTCGCCGTTCTTTTTCCGCCTGGGACTTTGGTGATCAAATCTGCCAGCAGTTGGATAACCGCCTACAGGTTAGTTGTTGTTTTTGGGCAACACGGTCTCAAAATAGATGAGTTGTGTGGCATCGTTCCAGATTTTTGAAGCCAAAATAAGAAACTGTTGGAACCGCCAATCGGGTGAAGAATGCTTAAATGGTTGACCTTTGCCCTTTCGCAAGCTGACGTGGCTGGCTGGAACATCATCGACGGATAAGGACATTCATGCAGAAATTTGGGATTCTTTGCAGGACGTGGCACAATAGTCACCTCTGTTAGGCAGCTTTCCTCTTGAAGTGTCTGAACATACCCGAAAAATGGCCATTTCAGACCTGGATTCTCAGACCTGTCAGATACGTCTCCTCCTCACTCGCCATGCGTGGGGCCGAAGCACTTGGGGAGTGGTTCGAAGTACTGCGTCCAAAATGTATCCAAACACTTGGACCATAGTGACAATATGAGATCAAAGATGCAATAGATGCAGACTTTGGGATCTAACTTGGATGGTTTGCTACTAAAATTTCTTGTTCCCAACAAATTCCGTGAAGGATGCCACTTCATCCCCACAGATCGACGCTGTGCCGGCCCTGCCGTGTCGTCTACGTCACGAGCCGACGGCGAGCCGGACTGCTACGGACGGCTCACCAACGAGATACCATGGGATAACATGACCTATCAACAAACTAAAACATATTCAAAAATTACAAACCAAAGTGTTTCCAAAATTTCAGTGACTACACTAGATTGAATCCGAATCTATGAATCTTCCGTCCAAGCCGTTCTCCAACTGCTCTTGTCGCGACAGAGCCTCTCTTGGAGAGAAGCAATTGGTGACAGCGTAGACATCTGTTGGTATCCTTATTTATCCTTATCCATTTGCCATCAATGCTTCGATGTGGAGATTTCACCATCGACGGCCCACAGGTTGATCATCCCAAAGCGACAGCGGTGCTTCCCTTTTTGTCACATGTTTTCAGCAGCGTGGTGGAATCCTTAGCCGGTCACAGGGGTCACAGGGGTCACAATGGCAATGTCAATGGCATCCTGGTGCTATCGCAGAAGTCAATTTATACTGGGATGCGCATGAAAAAGGACTGCACCTAAATACTGAGACGAGTTTTTGATCACGAATTTTTCTCGAGACACGCAATTTTGTTATGACATTTTTGCAATGAGAATCAGAGGAACATAACATATTGTAATATATTTGTCAATTTAGACCAGTACATGTCACACCTTTTGCGGTCGGGGTGGCAAACAAACAACATGAACAAATGACAAGATATAGTGAACTATAGTGGCTAGTGGACATGGCCCCTTTCCGAAAAATTTTTGTATCTGATCCGTATAATCCTCATTACCCAATGAATGTCTATTGCCTAGTGTTTCTAAACAAAAATGCCGTCAGTTCCTTGAACGATCAAACAACACCATCGAAGGACAAACTTGTGAGTTTGGTTGAACTGCCAAGACTCTGCAACAAACTTCACTCTCATCCAAGAACTCTACGCCACCCAAAAAATAGATGAACATGGACAACAGAATGGATGGAAAACTAACAGTACTACCATCCTTTCGATTCAACTTCGTTGCCCTTTCCTTTCGCAACCGTCTGGGATTGCCTTGAAATCCGTGGCCCTCATCACGCCACATCACCTCACTTCAAACCATTTGGATGCAGAAATCCACATTGTGCACAGTTCTTTGGATGATCCACTGGCACAGCTGGTGCATTTTTTATTCTCAGCTGGTGGTTGTTCGCAGTTTCAAAAACAACTGGCACCAAGTGGCACCAAGTGGCATGGCCAAAGACATGCATCTTAAGCGCCTGCGGTTCACATATCAGGATGGCTTCATCGGTACATGTGTTGAAGGTACTGCAAACATATGGTACTTTGTAGCAACAGAACCCACAGTTGGGTGCAACATATGCTACAAACACTGGAGTTGCCACAATCTCATCAAAGGATCAGTAAACTTCATCTAGTGAATATATCGGCATTTTGGGGTGAAACAGAGTTCTGCTGAATTTCATGGGGCTTCAACCAACCCTGATGTTGGTGTATACCATCTATGGCGAAAACATCATATACCCTACCCCGTCAAGCAACCAAACTCTAAGGTCACCCAAATTCCCAAATGTCAAGGAACCGCACCATATTTTAGTGGTGAAATGACATGTTCAACGGGTAAATCATATTCAAACCATTGGAAAATGGGCAAAGGTCAAACCCATGCCATCAAAAACGACCAATCGAGTGTGGGTCCATTGGTGCCCCAGTTTTGGCCTATGCCCAGCTTACATATTCCCGATTTTTTTTGTGATTCAAGACTATTCTTGGTGATTAATAAGCTAAATCAGTTAAAACATAATTTCTATTGGACAATCATCATTTATTGTACCATAAGATACATCCTCATTTTGAACACATCACCATTTGATATGGGAAAAAAAGATGGTACATGTAAAACTGGGAATCACCATTAGCCAGCCGTTATTTTCTGCGGATGTCCCACTATGTCGCTATGTTTTTGACATTCCTTACTTCTATTTACTTCTCATATCCCACAAGATCCCATCATGTTCCCTTATTTGCCATCATATTCCCTGATATCCCATGAATCTTTCCCATACTATTCCCATACTATTCCCGAATATCCCACTGTAGCGCCATGAAATCTCCATGCTTTGGGCCTCATCCTTCTCCGTCTCCTTCAGCCGCGGCCATCGGATCACGCAGCTCAGTTCTTTGCCCACCTCCTCAAACTGGGAAAGTTGTGGAACCAGAGATTTGTTGATTTTTCCAAGGAAAAGACATAACTTGACATAACATTTGGATGTGGTACAATTGTCGAAGGAACTTTAGATGTCAAACTTCCGACAGATGAAGCAGCAGAGGCAGGAGTCAGAGAAGAGAAGAAAGAGTCAGAAGAAAGAAGATCAATGTGCGCGAAAAGGTAGAAAAGCCGCGAAACATGGTGTTTTTCCAATGTTTTGTTGCTTCGGAGGGTCCCAGCACGATTCTTTCAAGTAGAGGGCTGTGTTCAAGAATGTCATGGATTCCCTCAATGTGACTAATTTCGCGGCTTGAAAGGGATAGACAAAAACGCCACCAACTGGTGGATTTGAAGGGGCTCCCGACATGAAAGTAAAAATACACATTGCTGTACAATGCTGTGAACAGGCGAAACAAAGCAACACGCAGTCGAAACAGGACAATATCAACATGCTCAAAGTAACACGTTGCCAGGAACCCCCCGAATCAACTGGACTTCCACTTCCGTTGCTCTTGCGTTTGACACGCTCTTTCTCGAATCACATATCGAGACTGAAAATCATGGCGCGCAATTCCCCAAAAATTGAAGATATCAACATATCACATAGATATATATCTCTCAATAAATCGCCTGAGTTTAGGCTTCAAATCAGATGAAGCCAAGCAAAATGGTTCCCAGGCCCAGCTCCTCTCTACCAGTGCTGGGAATTGTTGCCAAGGCCTTCGCCGCCGTGCTCAGCACCTGAGAATCAGTGATTTTGCAGACCCGAATTTTGATCCTGACATTGATTTGTAGGACATAAAAAAAATCTGAACCTAGATTCACCTCACCTCTTTTCTGCAAGGAAACATAAAGAAACTAAGAGATGACTTGGGGCACAACTAAAACAATCAGGCTGCAACCGGCTGCAACAGTTCAAAAAATCAACGGCGCCCTCAAATTGGGATGGGCACCGTATCATGCTGCGCTTTCATCTTGATGGCTGCACCAGCAAACTCGCAACGGTAGGCGGCGACCCGTGAAGTTGCACAAATACATTTGCGACTTTCGGAACTGTGGAAACTCAAAGGCAATATTACTGAAATCAGAATTTTGCAAAGGCACCCAAGAGTATAGTTTGCCCACATATGGCTACTCCAAATATGGCTGTTCAATTTCAAACAAATACAAAACACCAGTGGTACCTAGTACCAACATCAAAAAGAAAGAACTTTTCGTCACGCCATCCATTGGTGACCGGCTCTTGAACAGACCAATCAAAATACCAAGGAAATTTCAGTTTTGGATGCTTGGAAGGGGTGAAGTAAGTTCCTTGGCAAAACTATGCTGCTTAGTAGGCACCTGTCTGACAGACCCCACCTTGCGGTGTCGGACGACCACAGCGGTGGAAAGCCTGCAGATGGCCATGAGGCGTACTGTAAGTCCTGAAGTAAAATGAAGGAAACCCATAAATGTCATATGAATCATTTGGTCGGCATATGGGTACTGTATACTCCACTTCCACAAAGGTGATGAAAAACTACCATAAGAACTATAAGGTTTGCGTATAAGGTTTGGACACCATTTACGACCCATATTTCAATATAATTCAATAGTTGCCGACAAGTAGTCTCAGCAGAATCTTTTGGTTTTCCGTTGAGGTGGACCTTCCCCGCCCCAGTCGCTGCGGCGCTTTGTCACATCCGTGTGGGGCGTCACCACGAGAGGTTTCTCGGGAGTGTCCACCATGGTCCACCTGTGCCATGCTGGGATACCAAAAATCAAAGAGACGAAAAACTATTGGAAAAACAGATTTCAACCATTTCATAGGTCGACAAAGTGGTTTTATTTTTACTTTTTCTGAAAGTTGAGGGTTGGATCAAGTGTTGACTTTCCAAATTGGATGGTTTGGGATCCCAAGCAAATAGGATGTGAACATTAAACATATTCGCCGAAGGAAGTTTAGAAGTCAAGTTTCCGACAATATGGGCAGATGAAAAGCAGAGATGGGAAGAGTCAGAGAAGAGAAGAGAAGAGAAGAGAAGAGACGAGAGGAGAAGAGAAGAGAAGAGAAGAGAAGAGAAGAGAAGAGAAGAGAAGAGAAGAGAAGAGAAGAGAAGAGAAGAGAAGAAAAGAGAAGAGAAGAGAAGAGAAGAAAAGAGAAGAGAAGAGAAGAAGAGAATAAGAAAAAGAGAAAGTCCCAGAAGAAAGAAGATCCAGGTGCGCGAAAAGGTAGGAAAGTCGCGAAAGACTGTGGTTTTTCAATGATTTGTGGCTCCGGAGGGTCGAAAAGTAGGCTCGCTAAAGCGGCGGGTGCGGAGCCAGCTGGCCAGATGAGAGATGAAAAAGTGCACGCCGTTGTGGCGCAAAACGCATTTCCAAGTCAAAATGTACAAAGCGCACCATGCTCGGACCACTTTTGAGAGTTGCGATGTCTAAAAAGTGCACGCCGCTGTGGCGCGAAGCAATGTTGAAAACACCGGGGGTTCGGACCACTTTTGGACGTTCACATGTGCTTTCGCGCGGCAAGCGCGAGGGATTGTGGACCTTTTCAAAAATTAGCAAGCGTGAGGGTTTTGTGGCATTTTCAAAAAGGATGGCAGGCGTGGGGCATTTGAAGAGGATCTGCAAAGATGCATTTTCCGTGGCAGGCGCAGTACAAGAGACTTGTTTATCAGAGATGTTAGGAGGTCCGGGCGCTGATTTCATGAGAGGGGTTGCATTTTGGAGCATCAGATCTTCAGGTTTGCTGAGATGATTTTGCGTGACAGGTGCAGCACTTCGTATGACCCAGTGGCACTTTTTCCTGGCAGGTGCAGTACTTTAGACAGATGGAGTGGACAAATCGCAAAACGCATTGGTACGAGGCCGTCAGCTCTGCACTCAACTTTCCATTTTTGAAGGACGTCTCGCCGAATTGCTTCGTTTTTGATGTTGTCAACTTCAAAAACTGAGGAAGTCTCGCAGAATTGCTTCGTTTTTGATGTTGCCAAGTGCAAAAATTGAGGACGTCTCGCTGAATTGCTGCGAAAAACTGAGGAAGTCTCGCAGAATAGCTTCGATTTCAAGCTTGCAGATAGACAGATAGATAGAGAGACAACTACAACTGCAACTACAACTGCAACTACAACTGCGACTAGAACTACAAGTACCACTCCACTACACTACAACACTACAACACTACAACACTACAACACTACTACTCCTACTACTCCTACTACTCCTACTACTGCTACTACTGCTACTACTCCCACTACTCCTACTACTACTCCTACTACTACTACTACTACTACCACTACCACCACTACCACCACCACCACCACCACCACCACAACTACAATTACAGCTACACTACATTGCACTAATTAAACTGCAGTACATTACAGCTACAAATACAACTACAAGTACATTACGTTACACAACGCTACACTACACTAAGCACATTACATTACACAACAACTGCAGCTACCACTACATTGTACTACACGACACTAGACTACAACTACACTATACCACGCTACAGTACGCAACACTACAGTACACTGCAATACACTATACCACGCTACAGTACACAACACTACAGTACACTGCAATAGCAACTACACTACACTAATTAATTACACTACTTTACAACTACAACTTAAAACTACAACTTATAATTACAACTCCACTACACTACAACTACAGCTACACCTACAACTACAGATGCACTACACCACACTACATCCAGCAGTTGTGGTGAGGTGACCACTGCAGCCATTGCAGCCATTCCAGAAAACAGAGCTCCAACCACCTTTCGGTCCATCAGTGGATTCGCTCTGCCATCCGTGATTCACAACAACCAACGTCTCCTATAGGTTTACTATTTTTGAAACTTCCGCCACCGCCTTGTGCGGTACTACTGGTAGTTGAAACTGCAATTTCAGCGTCCGACAAAGAATGTCTCTCAGGGTTTGAAACGAGCTTCATGAGATGGAAATGATGCAGATCAAGATTGGAATAGATTGGAATATTGAAACTTTCAACATTCAATCAGCGTCTGACGTTTCATCCAAAATTCTGCATGTCGCGTTGGAGGCACAGCCATCACAGCCTCTTCTTCCATTCTGTCCAGGTCTCACGGATCTCGCAGAAGAAGCGCAAGGAACGTTCATCGTTCAGTTCCTGGAGAAATATCGATAACAAATCCAGGCCAATCAGAAGTTGCAATGCCTGTGTGTTTCCTTTGGTTTAGAAATAGTCAGTCAGAACAGATAAGGAAGAATGTGCTGCAGTACCCAAAGTTGCTGCGGCGCAAATGATTTCAAGCTCGCAGAGCATGTCTTTTGTGAAACTTCATTTCAAACACAAATTCGAGTCTTGCAGCTGGAAATGCAAAAGCTGCAAACTCAGTAGCCCGGTGAATCCTCGGGCATCTGTTGACCTCTCTTTTGTTTTCTCGTGTCTTTCAAGTCTTCAGACTGCAATTGAAGAAGCTGTTGGTTGGAAAGTATCATTTTTTGTTTGAGAGCGCGCTCCACATGCTCCAGGTCTTTCAAGCAGTAGACTTCTCGGCTCTTGGATGGTACTGGTGCTCGACGATTTCTCAGGGCACGGTGTGTTGCTTGCTCCACCAGCGCAGCCCTTCTCGGATCACCAAATATCCAGAGGCCTACCATGGTCTTGAAATGGAAATCTCTAAATGTAGCATGCTTGGCGTATTGCCTGATGCACCAGTCACCTGGAAATTCAGGAAATGGAAAAGTTGGTCCCGCCCAGCTTCAAGATGCAGTAAGAGTCATCGAGCTGATCGTCGTCACGGGGCTCTCCATCAGCGCTTCTCCAGCGATCCTCCAGGGCAATCAAATGGATGAGGCCGTAGCTGTAAAGAGAATCTGGACGACCACGAGGCAGCAAGAAGTTGGTCATGGCTGATTTCAAGTCGGCGACCATATGCATCATTGTCATCATCAGTCCATGCATATGGGGACGTTGTTGCTTGAAGAGTGCACCACGACGCAGGGTGGTCTTGATCGCGTTCAAATTCTTCATACGCATCTTGGGCATGACCATCCAAGGTGGTTGGAGCTTTGCACAACATATCTCTTTGTCAATCTATTTTGTTAGAATTGGTACGGCATATTCTATCCCCTTTTAATCCAACAGTATATTCGAATTATATTCTAACAAGCATGGTGGAAACTTATGAATCACGAAGCCAAACCTCAGATGCGCGGCAGAGCTGGAAGCAGAGTGTAATGATTCCAAGAGCCACTAAAGTGAAATACTTCAAGGAGGATTGGTTAAGGGAAAACACATATAGACATCTGAAACACAATCAAGATATGCTTCAAGAGACATTTTCAACGAGGTTGTCAAATGATGCCAAAGGCTGTGTCACAGGTGATTCACGTTCAAATAGATTCGAATACCAGAAACTTTCAGCTTTCTCCCAAACCTGCTCCCATGTCTCTGTTGTTAATCTCACGCTTCGATTCAAGGCATCTTGAAATGCAGCAAAGGCCTCAGTACATTGCCTGTCGAAGCTTCGCAGCGCCTCTAGATCCTCTTCCTTGAAGAACCTTGGCACTAGATGCAAGTCTGCACCGCCACGCGTAGCCATAGAATTGATGTCTTAGAGAAAAGGCTGTTGTACATTGCATGGATCAAGAGAAACGGAGCGGAGTCCGCCGAAACCTTAGATGAAACAGTAGAGAAAGTGAGAAGATGACAGAAAATCAAAACCCGCTCACAAAAAACGCGGAAGTCTGCACAAGTGCCCGGCCGGGGCTTCAGCTGCAGACTTCCGCTTTTTGCTTGAAACGTCCCTGAAAAACTTGCTTTCCAAGAGGCTTCCTCCTGCCGGTCCTGAGGTTGCGAAGAAGGACTAGGACTGTACCGCATGACTTCGCCTTCCACGTCTGGAAGCGTCGGAGTGGCGCCTTGCCAGATACAGCCTGGCTGTTGACTATATCTCACTGTGTCTCCATCTGGATTCCCAGGCTGTGCCTCCATGTTGTACAGCCAGCTCTGCACCTGAGCTATCTCTCTAGCTTCTGGTGCGGCTCTGGCTCAAATCTGTCCCGTCAGTCTCCAGCATGCTGCCTGCGCTGGTCTCAGCAGCCACTGGTGGCATCTCCATCAACGCCAGCTGCAGCTCGTGCCTCTCTATTGTCTGCTTCTGCCTTAGTGAGATAGCCACGAGGTATATTGCTTGGGCTCCATGGAGCTTCATCTTCAGGCCTTACAGGACCGCTGAAGGAGCTTCAGGGCCCTCTCCAGCTGCAGCTGGAGCCGCAAAGAAGTGCGGGCTTATATCGATTCTTCCATCCATCTCCTGCGTTGGCTCAATCAAGGGCTCATTGCCCTGAACCAAGCCTCCTTGAGAGGAGATCAATCCAAACATGCTTTGAGCCGCTGTCTGCGCCAGGGTTCTTTGAGTCGTTGTGAGTTCGTGCAATTCTGGAAGTATGCAATGCAATGCCGTGGAATGTAACGTGTGTACAGGGATGTAATCATCGTTGAGCTCCTAAATCCGCCAAATCGATCCAAATCGGGCAAACCAATGGGAATCACCGAACCCACAACCACCAGCCAAATCAGCGGAGATTCCTATTCGAGCTATGCCAAAACTGGCCTGAAAATTGGAAAATGCAGGTGGGCAGCCCCAAATTTTACGATGCGGGCAGAATTGGGAGAATGAGAAGTTCTTGAAATTTGCAATGGGGGATCCACAACCACATAAACCATCGCAAATGTGCACTCTTCTG